CCACAAGCACAGTAGGATGGTAAACTGGCAAATGGCACATTATATCTCAATCTAAGTGCGTCCTTAAACTCTTCCTTATTCAGATCTAGATGTTGTTCTTTATTTGGTAAAGTGTTTAACCGGCTGCTGGCACCTTTGTCACAGGCCTGTTCAACCAGAAGTTTAAGATTTTCTGGAAGCCCTGCATGTATTTTTTTAACCTCTTCTTTTTTTTTATTTAGATTTATCCATATTTGTTTTTGTTTTTATTTCTAAAAATGTTTTCCCAAAATCATCTTTTTCTTTCATAACATCTGACTGGTCGAGTATTGATTTTATGTGCAAGTTAGTTATTTTCTTAGAGGCAGTATGTTGTTTCTTGGCCTCAGTTATTAAGTTACAAATTCCAAGTCCTCCTTCCGATGGATTCAGCGCCAATAAATCCCTATTCTCATTGATTATAGAACAATCAGTTCCAAACAATACAGGTAATAATTTTTCTGAAATATTTTTTTCCACTAGTGTTACGAAATTTTCAAAAGCTTTAATTGTGCGTTAGAAGTAAGTGAATTTAGATCTATACCCTTTAATAAAAGTTGAATAAGCAGCTTGTGGTTGCGTGGTGGCGATTTCGCAGAGACTGTTAATCTCCTTAGACCATTTACTCACTAAATCCTTGCAATACACTCTTTTGTATGCTTCCGAACCAAGTGCAGCTCCTAAGTGTCTTTTTCCCTGTGTAGTTATATTTATAGAGTTGCCAAATATAAGTTTAGCTTCTTCAGCTTGGATATCAGATTTTACTATTAGCCAGCATTTTGACTGATTTACATAATAACCATACAAACCACCGACATCCTCTTGGCATTTATACCACTTTTTTAAAGACTGTAATTTTCCTGCAGCGGTAGCATCATTGGCTAACCATACTTGTTTTACATCAGGCATTACTAGTTTCAATGCATTTATGATTGTCACAGTGCTAAGTGAGTACCATGGCATAGCGAGAGGATTGCTCTGCGTTGTGCCTTCTTTCGAAAAAATAGTTTCTCCATCGTAGATGAATAATTTTGCCGGTTTACGGTAGGTGTTGACTAAATACATAGCTAAGATTGGGCAAGTTATGTGTATATTATGTAGTGCAACAGAATGGTTTAGGCAGTTAAACACATTCCTAGCATCGATTAACAAAACACCATCTGTATCTTCCTGATGAAATATCTTTTGCATAGCATGTATTGCAGCTTCTGCTCCTGCACCGTGTCCTGCGCAAGTTTGTAGTGGTCCAGGTGCCTCCTTGATTTCTTTTTGACAATGGTGGCTAATGGTTTTACCTACAATCCTACGTAACACTTCCCCAATTCCTATGGGGCGAATCCCGGGATTTTTGTCTAAGGGAATTAGTCGACAAGCAATGTAGGGTTGAACTATATCCGGTTGGTAGGATTTTGTTGTATTTTTTGTAAATGTTGCTATTTCTTCTCTTAGAGTCTTACAAGAGGGTCCAAAACACTTTGAGCATAGGACTCGACGGTAAAGATCTGCATCCACTCCAGAAGGACCTGCAGATCCTTTAGTTTGTAAAGTTGAGTTAAATACACTTATCTCATCAATTGGATCAAACAGACATTCTGGAGTGTTTTCTAACGGGCCGTATAGTAAACAATTATCTTGTACAGGAGTCTCTTCTGGGTGTTTACTTTTCAATTCTTTCAATACACTTTCCGAGCATTGCAAGATGCTATAGATGATTATTATATTATAGATGATGATATAGATGCAGATGATTCTCTATCTAAAACCTTCAGTGCGACAGCAACTTTACCTTCCATAATTAGTTTTGCGAATATCCTTGAGATATCCTCAAATGTCCTTTTCTTTTTTGAGGTGTTAATTTTGCTCTGAATATATCTAATTTCCCGCATCAATTCACTAAAGTTCCCGTTTCTCCATAATGTAATTCGTCTTACTAAACATTCTGCACGTTCTTTGGCTTTGGACCGTATTAAGGGCTTCTGTAACATTAGGGAAGGGACTATCATGAAACATTTCATGGCTATTCCATTCAATTTGGTCGATTATTAAACTGTTTTAGCCAAAAGGTCAGTTTTTCTATAAACATTTTACCACCTTTTCCTGATGGCACTTTAAAAAGGTTTTTATGTTAAAATACTATTTCATTGTATATTGTGTTGACATGGTTGAGAAGGAAGCTAAACGGCATATGACCCCATAGATAGTTGTTGGGATCTATAATAGATTCACAAATATTTATTTTGGGTAAGTAAGGTGTGTTGGTTGAATAGTGTTCTACAGATATCTCATCGCAGTTATATCGTATTAATCTCCACCTTGTTTTTATTCGGTGTTGTTAAATCATTGTTAACTACATTGTTTATTTGTTTATTTGTATTGGAAACAAAGATTTTACTTTGACCTTTATGAATATTTAGTCCCTTAAGGGAAGTAAAGCTACGATCACATCTTTTGCATTTAGAAACCATGTTCATTGAAGAATTTATTATTAGCCGTATACTTATATTATTAGCCGTATACTTAATTATCTTAAAAAGAGATGCCGTCTATGTTTTGTTGTTTACCTTAACAAGAGGTACTGGTAATGTTCCATAAACAAATACTTTGTTTAACTATAGTTAAACAATATGCGGTAAACTATAAAATAACTAAAGTTATTTTATTGTTTATTGTTTACCGTAACGAAAAAAAGATTGATAAATTTTATAATGTAGATAATTTGAGCAAACAGCGAACTAATGTTTACGGTTGGTTGAACACAAGTTTTAAGATAAACAACTTCAAACAAAAATATAGCAGCCCCCTTCTTCGGTGAAATATGAACGCATGATTTAGTACAAAACCAAAATATTTCTTTAAATCTAATAATAGAATGATTATTGTTATGAAAGGATTTACTACTTTTTATTTTTATTTTTATTTTCTTTCTTCTTTTACTTTATGATTTTCAGTAAGCGAAATTATTTCGTAAACTATTTGAAAATTGCAGTATATATGCTAATTTTGATAGGATTAATTGCTAAATCTAAGAATATAATAAACGTATTAAACCAAGTAAAAATTCAGATTAAGAAGTTCAAGAATATACATCAAATGCACATGTTACATAAATTTAAAAACAGCAAACGATATTGTGCCATAAATAAACGATTTTCCATTAAATAACCATAAACAGTTTATTATTGCATTTTAAAAAACGGCTAATTTACATTATATTAAATCGAATATGCGAATATCACTTAGAAACACTTAAATCATTCCTAACCAGTGCTTACTAAATAACTTCTATAAAGAGATCTTCACGGGACGGCCCTGGTTAACTTTTTTTTTAACTTTTTTCCCATTATGAAATAACTTCGACTTAAACATCCTACATTTGATTTACAATTTAGATTTTTTTTATGGCTGAATTTTTGTGTTAAATTTTTAGTGTTACCTGGATATATAAGAATACAAGAATATCAGATACTTAATCTTATCGCAAAATTTAAAACAAATTCTTTTCACCTAAACTTTCAACTCAAATTTTTTTTAAATGGCTTTATACAGTTTTTCTAAAAAAGAAAAAGAAAAAATCTCTTGTTAAAGTTAAATGTTGTGAAGTTAAATGTTGTGAAGTTAAATTTTGTGAAGTTAAATGTTGTGAAGTTAAATGTTGTGAAGTTGAATGTTGTGAAGTTAAATGTTGTGAAGTTAAATGTTGTGAAGTTAAATGTTGTGAAGTTAAATGTTGTGAAGTTAAATGCTGTGAAGTTAAATGCTGTGAAGTTAAATGTTGTGAAGTTAAATGTTGTGAAGTTAAATGTTGTGAAGTTAAATGTTGTGAAGTTAAATGTTGTGAAGTTAAATGTTGTGAAGTTAAATGTTGTGAAGTTAAATGTTGTGAAGTTGAATGTTGTGAAGTTAAATGTTGTGAAGTTAAATGTTGTGAAGTTAAATGTTGTGAAGTTAAATGTTGTGAAGTTAAATGTTGTGAAGTTAAATGTTGTGAAGTTAAATGTTGTGAAGTTAAATGTTGTAAAGTTAAATGTTGTGAAGTTAAATGTTGTGAAGTTAAATGTTGTGAAGTTAAATGTTGTGAAGTTAAATGTTGTAAAGTTAAATGTTGTGAAGTTAAATGTTGTGAAGTTAAATGTTGTGAAGTTAAATGTTGTGAAGTTAAATGTTGTGAAGTTAAATGTTGTGAAGTTAAATGTTGTGAAGTTAAATGTTGTGAAGTTAAATGTTGTAAAGTTAAATGTTGTAAAGTTAAATGTTGTGAAGTTAAATGTTGTGAAGTTGAATGTTGTGAAGTTGAATGTTGTGAAGTTGAATGTTGTGAAGTTAAATGTTGTGAAGTTAAATGTTGTAAAGTTAAATGTTGTAAAGTTAAATGTTGTGAAGTTAAATGTTGTGAAGTTGAATGTTGTGAAGTTGAATGTTGTGAATTTGAATGTTGTGAAGTTAAATGTTGTAAAGTTAAATGTTGTGAAGTTAAATGTTGTGAAGTTAAATGTTGTGAAGTTAAATGTTGTGAAGTTAAATGTTGTGAAGTTAAATGTTGTGAAGTTAAATGTTGTGAAGTTAAATGTTGTAAAGTTAAATGTTGTAAAGTTAAATGTTGTGAAGTTAAATGTTGTGAAGTTGAATGTTGTGAAGTTGAATGTTGTGAATTTGAATGTTGTGAAGTTAAATGTTGTAAAGTTAAATGTTGTGAAGTTAAATGTTGTGAAGTTAAATGTTGTGAAGTTAAATGTTGTGAAGTTAAATGTTGTGAAGAAAGGACTGGATCTTAGTATTAGTAGAGTAAAAGCAATTTTTTGTCTTAATTTTTTATTTTGCAGAAATTTAGAAGAATTTGTTTTAAGCTAAATTTATACAACACAACAAATCAAAGTTACTTTTATAATTTATAAAAAATACTTTAGCTTACGTCTAGCTGACTTTGTCCTAGTCTAATAATATGATGATATTTAAAAATATATTTGGATTTTTATTTTTTGCAGCTAACAGCTTTAACAAGTATGCCACAGTTGGACTCAGCATAACAATACCTTTACTAATTGTGTTTGGCATTTTGTTTTTTGGAAGTTATGTCCAACGGAGAAAGATAAAAGCAAAAAAAGAACTAACAAACTTTGATCGCAAGTTACAAGAACTTTACGTCAACAGAAAATCTGATTCGGAGCGCCTAAAATCAATACAGAAGCTATGAATTAAAAAGAAAAATAAAAAAAAAAGAAAAGTTATGTACTTATCAAATTAATTAGTGCTCACGGTGACAAAGTTTGAAAACAATTCCTTTAACCCATTTTATAACCGTTTAAGGTTTATCTGTAATGTGTTTAGTTTTTAAACTGGCTGACCAGACTGTCAACCAGTTTAAAAACTAAACCTAAACGGATAAAAAGTTTATATATTTTCAATATATAGTTTAATAGTTTAAATACAGTTTTACATATTTTCCAAAGGTTTAAAGCCTTCAAGTGTGCTGGACAATTCGTTTATATGTAAAATTTGTAGCAGCCAGCAATGTTTAAACTTTAACGTTTTTAATGTTTTCGGCGCGAAAACATTTAAAAGTTAAAATTTTAGGAATGCTTTCGAATCTAGAAGGGTATTGTGGCACTAATACTGTTAAAAACATAGTTTAGTTTTTGATAATAAAATATTGAAAAATGTATAACGTTTGAGCAACCTCTAAAGTTTTAATTTTTTAATTTTTGTTATAATATTGCAGTTAATGATGCATCATATGATGATGCATAGGGCTGTAATTCCTGGCTCGTGTTCGTGAACGGCTCGGTGATCGGCTCAACAAGAGCTCGTTCATGTTCGGCTCGAATGGTAAACGAGCCGGTGTTACGTTAAATAAGTAGATTGTTAAATAAGTAGACAAAATGATATTCTACGCATGCGTTAGTTTACGGATACTTATTTAACGTAGTACTAAGTAGACAATTGAACAATCAAGGCATGATTTGTTAACCCAGACCTTTAAAACTGATAAACACGGCGTTTTCGTAATCTTTGAAGCCAAAATTTTTCAGAGAATGTGACGTCACTTTGTGGCAAAAAACTAGATAAAACAAACTAGTAATAAAATTTTATTTAAATTTTTTAGAAAATTCTTTTTATTTGAAATATATAGAATATATTTTTATGGGATATATTCTTATAAAGACTAAATATAGTAATTACTATGTCAATCCTTTAAAATTATTTAATTTACTATTAAAATAAATATAAACTCTTATCCGTGAAATAATATATCTTTACTAGTTTTAAATCTTTTTGTGCAATTGTATACACCCTAATGAAGATTAATTAAAAAATATAAGATAAATGCAATAGTAAAAATGTTTTTTTTGCCACAAACTAACGTCACTAAGCAAAACTTTTTTCGGCTTCACTTTTAGATTATTATTTTATAGCTAACGCCGTGTTTATCAGTTTTTAGTCTAAGACCCAGACGAAAAAATTAAAAAAAAAACATACGTTAACCGAACTAAAAGCATTTACTTTGTCATGCGAATTGTTATTATTTTATGGCATTTTTAGAGTAATAATTTACCACTTTTAATAATATTTAACTCACGACATATTCTAGTCGTATTTTATACCTTAATAGTATAGTATGACAAGTAACATATTTTTAAGAAGGAGATTTTTTTTAGGTCATTAATGATATCAAATAAAATAGTCATCTCACAAGAAAGTTTATTATATTCCTAAATAATTTAAATGTGCATTTTAGCAAAATGTTTCACGTTAAATTATTTATCTTTATCCCTTAAGCCTATCAATAGTAAAATTTGTAATTGCTACCAGATTCTACGCAGATAAATAGTAACAAAAGTATTCTGATGTTATCACAGAAAAAAGAAGAGAATTTATTAATTCGTGTCAAGTCTTTTTTAGTGTGTTAACTTACCTTCTCAAGGATGAAAAAGCCACTTCAGTCGTGGAGGCTGCTTTAGTTCTGGTTACAACCCTCTCACAACTCTTTAACTACGAAACACAAACCATGACAAACAAGACCGCTACGCGGAGAAACAAGTTGAGCGCGGTAGTACCAGGAACGTGGGGGTGATCGAACTCAGAACTTCTCGTTTATGAGGCGAGCGCTCTACCACTACACCACTACTGTACTACCGTTGAATAACAACCTAGACAGGTATTATTTGACGATTTTAGCGGTGTATGTATAGCACAATAATAATAAAATGTGACCTAAACTTAGTTTACTATTTCTTACTATGTGAATGTTTTAAATAAAAACGACATTAAAGAAACGACACACTTCATGCTACACTAAAACTTTATTTTGAAAATAAGATCAAAATATCTTTACACAATATAAATAGCAAAATAAAATAACATGGTTTTTAAATTCTTTTAAAAAATATCAACTTGGTTGAAACTTGGGCATTTTTGGAAGAAATTCGATTTTTTCACCTAGAATTACAAGCCTATATAGTATAGAAATATAGTAAAATATAAATAGTATCATATATAAACATTTATAAATTGTATCAAATATAAAAAAAATAATAATAAAAAGTACCTGCTTTTGTGCCAGAAGAGTACTTATTAAATGCATTGATCAATATATGTCAAAAAATTGATTTATAAAATGAACTCTAAATGTGTGCCAGAAGGATTTGAATTTATAAATCATATAAATGTTAAAAATGTTAAAACAGCCATGGTATCAACATGCCAGAATAGTCTATACTTTCACAATATTCTATAAAAAAATTGATCAAATATCTCATTATAATTAAAAATTACATAGCCATATTTTCAAATACTACTTTTAGTGTAGTTGTAATAATAGCTATAATTAACTGCAACCGCGACAAATGTATGTAAATAAAGAACTGTCTTTAATAACTGTACCTATTAACAATATCTTATATCAATAACCCTTGTTGATAAAATGAATAACTGATAACAGTAAGAAAAAAATATGTGTTGATTGTTCGCATGAATCATATCCATAAACACCTTAAACTCAACGATTCGTTCACCAACCGAATTGAATACTGAAGCTGCTTTAGCGTAAGATGCCATTTTAAAATATTTTTTTAAAAGGTAAAAAAAAACACGTACAATCGCGACTAAAAAAGTTTGAGTAACACAAATACTAAAAAGAAGTTTAGATGTGTTTTTTTCCGTATCATCAGGCAAGTAGACAAAAGTTAATTTTGCTACAATGTGTCTAGAAAATATTTACGGTTTATATTAGTATTTTAGATCGTTATGGGACGGAAACTGTTTAGTAGTTAAGGTTAATGTTATTATTAATTTGTTTTTGGTTAATATATGTGAAGTTGTTGTATTTTTTAATGTTTGTTATAAAAATACGATTTAATAATAATGTAAATTGTTTTTAAAAATTATTGTATTAAAAATAAATGAATATGAAAATAAGTTTCAAAAGTGGGTATAAGAATATAAATTATATTACAAAATATATTACAAAAGCTGTGTATGTTAATAATTTATTGGTTAGCCTAGAGGTGTACGAAATAGGGTTGCGTAGTTAATATTAGTGGTTAGTTATGCTTGTAGCGAGCTTTGTAGTTTTTTAATAAAAACTTGTTTTCGTGGCGGCACTTTGATATGACTTCGTATCGTTTATTTAGGAGTTCATCAGGTTTAGGATAGGATATAATTGCGAATTTCTTGTATAGACATAGTGGGCGCCTTTTGGAAATATTTGAGTAGGGGTATATATATTATAGTAGGATACTATATAGCTCTAGTTTATCTATTGAGCACTCTTTAAAATATACATTATTATACATGATAATATTAAGAAATAATCTTTAATATTTACATATATGCACCCACGTATTACGCTCCTAATAGATTTTAGTTGAGCACTCTATATTTGTATATTCAATAATTACGGTTCCAAACCGAACTTTACAACTTTGAAAATGACCTTTAAAATTTAGTAAAATCTATCAAGTTTAGAAACACAAATGATCAATTTCAAATAAAAATAAAAACAGATATCCAGAAAATTGTAACTAGCAAAGAAGTTCTTGTATTTGCCGATAAAACCAATAATCTATACAAAATGTCAGCTGAAAGTCATGACAAACTGATGAACGAAAATGTTACAAAAACCTACACAAAAAAAGCACCCACAAATTTAGAAAAATCAATCAACTAAGAAGCCAATCAAATAGCCTTAAAACTAAATATGAGTAACAGAATAGAACACCTAGCAATATCTCCTGCATTTATAACCCTAAAAGACCATAAAGAAAATTTTAAATCAAAACCAACATGCTGCCTCATTAACCCGGCAAAAAGCGAAATCGGAATAATAAGCAAAAAAATTTTAGACACAGTAAACAATAACTTTAGACTTAAAGTAAACCAATGGAGAAACACAACCGAAGTTATCAAAGCAGCCGTGGCGCAGTGGTTAGAGTTCTGGCTCAGAACCCAGAGGTTTGAGGTTCGACGCCAGCTCTAGCCCAACAAGCGACAAAGGTACGGAAGGAGGCGTGAACTTCTTGTTAAATGCTCTACCGCGGTGCTCTATGATAAGACCGTAAGGACTTCTGGAAGCACCTAAATACATACAAAAAAAAAAAAAAAAAAAAATTGGTTTAATAACATTCCAGACAAAAATAGTTGTTTCTTCATTCAATTCGATATAAATGAATTTTACCCATCAATAACAACCGAAATATTTAATAAAGCGTAATAATACGTGGATAAAAAAACAGTCGTGAGAGTTTCGACTTCACGATGGGCAGCAATGATGGCGCCGAAATTTGCGAACTTGTAGGAATCCACATACTTAATGAAATATCCGATATAATTATAAAAACCGATATAGGGCTATACCGCGATGACGGTTTATTAATAATACGTAGTTCTAACGGCCAAGAAACTGAATGAACTCGAAAAAACATTATTCAAAAGTTTAAAAACATAGGCTTTCAAATAAATATAAAAACAATATAAAAACAAATCTTAAATCAGTTGACTTCCTTGATGTTACTTTTAATTTATCCCAAAACACCTATAAATTATTCAAAAAACCTAACGATAATCTTCAATACATTCATACATCCTCTAACCACCCACCACAAATCCTTAAGCAATTACCTACTTCAATAAGCAACAGACTTTCACAAAATTCCTCAAATGAAGCTATATTTAACCAATCCAAAAACGAATATGAACAAGCACTAAAAAATAGTGGATATAAAAACAACTCACTAAAATATCATATTAAACAAAATCCACCCCTAAGAAATCGTAAACGCAATAATTTTGCTTACATTAAAATGTCAAAGTACAATTATATATGCCATATATATCGTGTTACAATTAAATTCGTGTTACAATATTTATCAAATAAATTAAAATAAGAAAAAACACGGACATACATATACAAATATAAGCATATATACACATACAAATGCGTAGATGCGCACATACATAAACTGCTTACAATGAAACATAAGCTAGGATCTGAAAGAAGATCACAAGATCTTGTCATCAGAACCTTATAAAGCACAAACAAGCAAAATAAATACCAGTATAAGATACTAAAAAATAAAGTAAAAATTAAAATAAAGAAAGTACTGAATCCAAGTTGTATAACAATTTTCAAAATATTAGAAGTATCTGAGTATATTATCAAGTGAAATAATATATTTTTTTAGATTGAGCTTGAAAAGGTAAAAGGAAGTTGGTAAATCAAAATTCTGCAAAACTATATTATTCCATTGGTGGGGTCCACGATAAGCAATGCAAAATTGATTAAATTTTGTGATTAAATAACATATGGTTTAACCCCCCCCCCCCCCCATTCAACAAAAACGTCTCCACTAACGTCGCAAAAATTTTTTTGAAATTACTTGACGAAAATTTTCCTAAAACACACAAACTACATAAAGTCTTTAACAGAAACACTGTAAAAGTAAGCTACAGCTGTACTGAAAATATCGAAAAAATTATTTTCCCAAAAAATGAAAATAATGACAAAAAATGCAATTGTCAAAAGGAAGCAGAATGCCCCATGAATGGAAAGTGTAAATCCACACACTTTATATACAAATGTATCATCGCAGCTAAAAATCAGCCCAACAAAGTGCATTTTGGAAGGCGAGTGGAAAAACAGATACAACAATCACAAATCATCATTCAATAATGTTAAATACAAAAAGACTACCGCCTTATCAAACTACGTCTGGGATTTGAAAAACAATTTTAACGAAACCCCAATATTTACATGGTCTATTCTGAAATCTGTACCCCCCTACTCAAATATTTCCAAAAGGTGCCCACTATGTCTACACGAGAAATTCGCAATTATATCCTATCCTAAACCTGATGAACTCCTAAATAAACGAAACGAAATCATATCAAAGTGCCGCCACGAAAACAAGTTTTTATTAAAAAGCTACAAAGCTCGCTACAAACATAACTAACCACTAACATTAACTACGCAACCCTATTTCGTACACCTCTAGGCTAACCAATAAATTATTAACATACACAGCTTTTGTAATATATTTCGTAACATAATTTATATTCTTATACCCACTTTTGAAACTTATTTTTATATTCATTTATTTTTAATACAATAATTTTTAAAAACAATTCACATTATTATTAAATCGTATTTTTATAACAAACATTAAAACATACAACAACTTCACATATATTAACCAAAAACAAATTAATAATAATATTAACCTTAACTACTAAACAGTTTCCGTCCCATAACGATCTAAAATACTAATATAAACCGTAAATTTTTTCTAAACACATTGTAGTAAAATTAACTTTTGACTAGTTGTCTGATGATTGTGGTAACACATGAAACTTTAAGTCGCAATATAATATAAATATTAGCATTTAGCTAATTCCTGATACTGCGGGTAACAGTAATATATATACTTTATATATATATATATATATATATATATATATATATATATATATATGAATGTATGTAAGTATGTATGTATGTATGTGTGTATATATATATAAGTATATATATATATATATATATATATATATATATATATATATATATATATATATATATATATATATATATATTTATATATATATATATATATATTTATTTATATATTTCGAAACCAGGACAATTGACTGTCACAAAGACCATTTTCGGGACGCAAAGACAGCACACCTAAAATAAGGGCAACGCCAGATAACCGGAACATCTGGTCACCCTAGGTATAACCTATATAATAAAGGCACTACAGACTACAGCAAAGAATTTTCAGAATAAATTTATATAATACTTTCTGAAGATATAAAAAAAATATGTAACATATAAATCTTTTTTCTGTCTAGTTTATTCGTATATTTGTAATGTATATATGCTATAAAACGTTTATAAATATATTTAAAAATATTCATCTGAAAATTAATTTTATTACAATTATTAATAAGGAAATATTCCGAGAAAAAAAAATTATTACTGATAATAATACACGACCGAAAGAAATGTTAAAGATGATTTTTTAAGAGAAAACAATAATCAATAAAAGAACTCACTTGTTTTTTTTGTTTTTTTGGGAGCAACCTAGCAAGTCAATTTTTTTCCATCACGTTTGGCCTCATTTTGACCCGATCAGCAAAAAAGATTTAAAAAAACTGTATTTAGAATGAAATGATACTTAATTAAAATTTAAAAAAATAATAAAATTGAAAATATAATAAAATTTACAACACTCCATGATAAATAAAAATGCGAAATAATTTCAACTATAATTGAAACAATATCTCTTCTAAATTTTAATGAACTCAAAAATCTTTAATGAACATAATTTAATAAGGGGGACAGCAATTGAACAAAAAGGTTATGTTTTCGGATAACCTCTTCCTCTACCACGGAATCCTCCCCTTCCTCTAAATGGACGGTCACCATCGCTATAGTTCAATTTATTTTTAAACGAATTTCCTGCATCCTGTTTATTTCCAGCTTGTTGATCGCTTTGACTTCTACAATATCTTCCACGATTCGATTGAACGCGACCACGAGTTTGCAATCCACGAAAGGCATTTGTTTCAATTGCACTGCTAGTAGTCTTTGTTTCTCGATTATGCCTCACAACAGTCCAGACTGGGCCAACTTTACTGCCTTTATCTGGATTTCCTTCATCAATTATAGGACTTTCTACTGGAGCGAAATAGCGACTATTACTGGCGTTGTTTTGAAAAAAAGGAGACCCCTTACCTCTCCCAGAAGGCGAGTTCTTTCCTGACATTTGGCGCTTAACTATAGGTGACGAACCTGCAAAAGTAATTAGATAAAGAATTTGGTAAATAATTAACATTACATCTTATCTGCATCTTTACTTTTAGAAAATATAAACATTAGGGAAAAAAAAATACATTCACGAGAGATGTCTAGATTCCTCATAAAAACTTCATTGTTTGCATCTGAGATTATTCTTGGCATAAACAACTTTGGCGACTGCCCTTTAACTTTGTTAGCCCAAGAAATAACATTTGACTCTCCAACTAAATTTGGTGCTGGTATTTCAACTTTAAGAGAAACTGTCGAAGAACGCGATGGAGGGGCAGAGCTAGTCTAGATAGTCAAAACGAGATAAAATCATTTAAAAAAATTATATAAATCAATTAATAAACTTAAGTTAAATTTAAATTAAATTAAAGAACATTTTTTCAAAAAGGAAACAAATTACATTTAATACCTTTTAAGAAGATTAAAAAAAAAGGTACGTTTTTTAAAAAAATTGTTTTTCTTTAATGACACATCTTTAAAATAATGTAATTTCTACATTCTTTAAAATAACGTCATTTCTACATTCTTTAAAATAACGTCATTTCTACATTCTTTAAAACAGCGTAATTTTTACACTTTTTAAAACAACGTAATTTCTACATTCTTTAAAATAACGTAATTTCTACATTCTTTAAAATAACGTGATTTCTACATTTTTTAAAATAACGTAATTTCTACATTATCTTAAATAACGTAATTTCTACATTCTTTAAAATAATGTAATTTCTACATTATTTAAAATAACGTAATTTCTACATTCTTTAAAATAACGTAATTTCTACATTCTTTAAAACAACATAATGTCTACATTCTTTAAAATAACGCAATTTCTACATTCTTTAAAATAACGTAATTTCTATATTCTTTAAAAGAACGTAATTTCTACATTCCCCTAACAAAAAAACCCAGCGAACTTCCAGCGAAAGTTCGCTGGAAATTAAAAGATCACTGGAAATTTACTAAGATCACTGGGTTTTCGCTGGATTTTCATGGAAACAAAAGACTTGGCTGGAAGTTCGCTGGAAATCCAACGAAAAACTTCCAGTGATCTTAAAGTTCGCTGGAAGTTTACTGGGTTTCATGCGAAACTCAGTAATAACCCAATAATATTTCAAATTTTTGTATAAAGGAAGTCCTTTTTATTTTTTATTTTTTGCATCTAATAGATGATCTATAGTGCGAGTTTCAATTATTATTAGTTCTACTCAAGTTACAAAACAAAATCATCTGGTATGTTGCTCAAAATGTTTATTTCTTTTAAGTATTGTTTATTATGCATTCGCTTTATGCGAATGCATTTTATTTATCAAATAAAACTATTAATAATAAAACTAAAACTAACTTTATTATTTTATAAAAATAATTTTTATAAATGTCTTTATGATTAAGTATTTTATATTAAAATAATAAATAACAAGCTGTTTTTCTCTCTCGCTGAAAGAGAGGGATATATAGTATATATCCCTCTCTCTCAGTGTATGTATGTATGTATGTATATATATATATATATATATATATATATATATATATATATATATATATATATATATATATATATATATATATATATATAAAGTATGTTAGTGTATTCTACAGAGTGCTCAACGTTTTTAAAGAACAGATCAATAATAAATTAGTAAAAATACTTATCTAATTTAAATTTCTTCTACAGCTTGTTTCTCCATAAGTAAGATCATCAGGAAGGAATCTTTCTGATGATCCAACTGATGGAGAAACAAGCTGTAGAAGAAAATAAAAATTAGATGTGTTTTTACTAATTTATATATATATATATATATATATATATATATATATATATATATATATATATATATATATATATATATATATATATATATATATATATATATATATATATATTTGTGAAGTAGCTTTAAGTACTAATAAGCAATGTACAAAATGTTTGAAATATTTTACATTATCCTATCTTTATAAGAAATGCAGTTATTTTCATATTTTAAACATAAACAAACAGCATAAAAACATGTGTGATAACAATTGGATACATTTAGCAAGTCTTGAAGAAAATGCGCAAGCAACAATTAGACTTGTTGTTAATACTGATGGAGTTCCTGTTTTTAAATTATAAAAGTGGACCTTGTGGCCTAGCATCCATTCATAATTTTCCATATTCATTGCAAATTACTAATATTTTGTTTTTTGGTTTCTGGTCCAGTTTTAAAAAATCAAACGTGCAATTATTTTTATCTTGTTTTGATGATTTTTTTATTAACCTATCCACTACTGGTATACTCTTATCTGATAATGTTCGTGTTTTTTTTTTCATGTATCTATTTTTTTGTGTGATACAATTGCAGGAGCTATGGTTTTTTGTTGTTGGTAGTTTAATGATTATAATGGTTGACATTGGTGTTCTTCTCAAGGGGTAAGAGTTAAAAAAGGTAGGAGGTCTTGTATGACTTATCCATTTTCTGAATATAATGATATAAGATGATATAAGATATCATAATAGATGATATAAGTTATCAGAGAAAGTAAACAAAGTACACTTATTCGGAATAAAAAATGTAACTACTGCCATTTGGTTCTCGACTTTTTTGAAATGGGCTAAAAAACATGCTTAAGCATCATATTGCCTATAAGATATACTTACTGCAATATTTTTCTTCTTCTCTAATATACAGGTTTAAGTTTTGCTTTATAATGACTAATATGTTTTTTACAGATTTAAATATCTATATCAGTACAGAAAAGTAGAGCTGTATGAATTTTTGTTTTGTTGATTTAAACAGTTGAAAATTAAAAAAAAATTAGTTTAAAAATTGTAAAGTTTCTTACAAAAAAAAACCCAGAAAACTTCCAGTGAAAGTTTGCTGGGTTTTTAAATTAAAATTATTTAGTTATTATAATATTAGTTATTATAATAATTGATTTTATATATATATATAAATATATACATATATATATATATATATATATATATATATATATATATATATATATATATATATATATATATATATATATATATATATATAATATATATATATATATATATATATATATATATATATATATATATATATATATATATATATAAGTTTTTATTATTTTATCTATAATTATTATTTTTATGCAGGATAAAAGTGATAAAATGCTATTGGTTGGAAATTGATAAATTATTAAAAAATGATTGATCTTATACTGTTTTATTTTTGCTTATCATTTCACATTTTGTCTTATTTTGAATATTATGTTTTATATAATTATTAGTTAGTGTTTGAAAAACACTAACTAATTTTGATTGCTTTTAGATTTTGGATACTGCCTCTACCATTAACAAATTAAAAATAAAAGAAGCACTTCATATTAAATGGGAAAATCCTAAATATAAATTTATCTAACTAACTTACTACATTATTATTGTTATTTTAATATTAGTAGGTTTATTTTGTCATAATTTGTAATAAAATTTTCAATTGATTTGTAGCAAGTTTATTTGTAATATATATATATATATATATATATATATATATATATATATATATATATATATATATATATATATATATATATATATATATATATATATATATATATATATATATATATATATATATATATATATATATATATATATATATATATATATATATATTAGTAGAAAGTCACTTAATAAAATTTTTTTTTTTAAGTTTTCGATGTAACAGTGTAAAATGAAAAAAAATTTTTGTTAAGTAATTTTCTATTTATAATTGCTCTGTTCTTTTAAAAACATTGAGCACTCTATTTTGTAGAATATCTTTATTTATTGTATGCATTCTTTTTTTTTTTTTTTTTTTCTTTTTAGCTCTAAAGACCCAAACCGAAAAGAATGCCTAAAGTGGTTTTCAAAAGATGAATTGACAAATTTCTTAATTCTTTTTGTTTCGTTGTGATAATTTGTCATATGAGAACGCTAACAAGAAAAAACTTTTTAAATATAGAAACATGCGTAATATAAAATAAAGATCTACAATACATTTACTTATGCCTATAAAAAAATATATGTTTTACATTAATTAATAAATTAACTTTTTAGTTTTTTGTTAAAAATTGTATTCTGTATTAAAGTTTATTTCTGAGAATTTGTAATTATACCTAAGATAATCTAATCCTACATTGTATTTTAATTTATAAAACTCGATATTTTAAAATAAATATATTACTTTTTTACCGCGCTTAACTTGTCTTATTTCGCGTTTATTGGTTAAAAAATTTTAAAATGTTTATAAACTTTTGAAACTTTTATAGCAAAAATAAAAAATCCTTTTTAAAAAAACTTCTAGCAAATCTATTTTTATACATAAACATGAAAATTCACTAGAAAAGTTCACTGGAAGTTCCCTGGGTTTTGGAACAAGTTCGCTGGAAATTTCCAGCAAACTTCCAGTGATCTTTAAAGATCACTGGAAGTTCGCTGGAAAAGTTCGCTGGAAAAGTTCGTAATCTTAATTATGGGCAGTTTGGAGGATTTTGCTGTCTAAAACAGCCAAATCCTCCAAACTGCCCATAATTAAGAGTTATGAAAATAATCACACAATTGAAGGAAAAATAAAACAAAACCAAAAAATTATGCTAAAGATTTGAAAATGTCAAAAAAGCATCGAATAGCATTGATGTTTGATTGTTCTGAGCGCAAGCAAAAGTTCTTACCAAAGCAAAAGTTTGAAATTTTATTAGATGCTTACAGGAATAAAATAATTTCTTTGAAATTTTATATCTTCTTAAATAAATGTATCAGTATTATTACTTAGTTCTAAAAACAAATTGATGAGTATCTTTTTCTAGTAGTTTTTCTACTTTCATATTTATTTAGTGTACATGCTTTACAATAGTCAATTAATTAAAAAAAACTATTAAATAAATAATTTTTTGAACATTGAAAAAGAATTTTTACTTACAACAGCAGCTGAGGAGTACCCATCATCTAATCCAGAAGTTAAGCTTGGGAAACATTTAAGTGTCGCAGTTTCCTTTAATGTTAATTGAATAGTTTTCTGAATAACATTTCCACCTTCTTTTATTAAAACTTCATGGCGGTGTTTTGTTGAATGAGGCTTCTTAATTGAATTCTAAACATCAATAAATCTATAAAAAAAGTCATTAAACTTTAAGTAAAATTATTAGGCTAACATCTATAACTAAAACAAAGTGAATCAATTAGATGTAACTTAATAAAACTATATATATATATATATATATATATATATATATATATATATATATATATATATATATATATATATATATATATATATATATATATATATATATATATATATATGTAACTACTTTTTAACTCATTTTACTGTCCCAAAGAAAAAATGACGTACCTAAAATACACTGAAAATTAGTTATATACTGCAGCAATTAATTCTTTTTTTTAATAAACAGGTCTGGATTCCCTCCCAGTAAAGACTTAATTTTTTTTTTGAAAGACAGGAAAATTACTTTTCTACAACTAACATTTCAATAACAAGTTTATACTTTGTTTATTTTTAAAAAAAATTACTTTTTTCAAAGGAATACAGAAAACATATGGGAAAAGATTGTAAAAAAAAATTATTTTGTATTATTTAACATTATGAAAGTTTAATTAACAGTATTTAGTTACTAAACTTTTAATTGGGTACAAATATTCTTGAAATTCTTATATTATCATGCAAGAATATATTTAATCAAATTTATTCTGTAAAACATGGATTGCTTATTTTATTTTCTAAATTGAACAATTATTGGTCAAGGTTGCAAAAAAATGTGGCATTATCGAGTCAATTTTAAAACTGAAATCATTTAATGAAAAACTTTTTATTGTCAATTTTGATAGTTTTTTGATTTATAATGTTAAAAGACAGGTTTTAAGGTAAAATACTTAATACAACATATAAATTGGGAATTATTAAATATAATATTTTTAAAATAAAAATACTAAATACAACATATAAATTGGGAATTATTAAATATAATATTTTTTAATGTGTGCTGCAACACATTTTAATCACAATCTGTCTTGAATTATTGTCATAAATTATTATTACTTTAATTAATAAAAAAGCTGTCTGTAAATTTTCAAGTGTAAATTTTCACTAGAAATTAAAGAATGCTGCAAATATCTCTAATAAAAGATGTTGTTGCAATATCTCTATGTTGATGCAAATTTTGTTGCAAATATCTCTAATAAATGATGTTGTTTACCAAAATTATTTATTAATTAAAAATTTAAGAATTTGTAAAATGTCATTTTGATAAGAGAATAAAAACATTAGAGATAAACAGCTAAGATAAACTAGAAATAAAGTTTACATTGTTTACATAAAAAGAAAAAAGATTCAGAATATATAATAAGTTGATCAACATCTTTTTTATACATTTATTATATTTAAGATTACCATTAAAATCTTAACTTTATTTGGTTCTTGCGCTTTATAAAAAAATATTCTTTTGTTTAGCCTCATATAAATTTTATAGAAAAGTCATACAATTTATGATAAACGCTTATTTTAATAAACAAATAAAACAAAAACAAATATTGATTCAAAAAAAAATTCAATTTAAACAAAAAAAAATCCTACAATGATGTCATATACTAAAACTCTTTATATACTAAACGTGCTTGAATAAAGTCTGTAAAAGAAAAAGATTTTTTGGCAAATAAAATTTTTTTACTATCTTCTATATAATTGCTTATAATTAATATTTAATGTAACGCTGCTGCTGTTGCTTTTCAAAGGTCAAACTTTTGATGAAAGTCAAACTTTGGATGAAGTTGGTGTTTATCTCAAAAACCCTTGCATCTCACACGATCAACTCTATGTTTCATGTTCAAGAAGAAGATTATTTAATACTATTTTAAAATTACAGAAAATTTGTTTGAAAACTAAAAAAAAAAAAAAAAATAAGGTGGTATTTGTAAGTGTTTTTAATTTTTATAATTTTTTTTATTTATATACTTAATTATTTTTATTATTTATTAAATATTTTTATGTGTTATTATGTTTATATGTGTTAAGGTCATATGGGTTTATATTTTGTAAGTGTGTTAATATCATTTATATTTGAAGTGTTTTTATTTAACATAGTATGTTTGTGATGTATTTTATTTCTATTTGATGTTTCTTTTTAACATAGTATGTATGTAATGTGTAATAATGTTATGTGTTTATAGTTTGTAAGTGGTTTTATCTTGTTTGCATGGTTTCAAAGTGTTGTGACTTGGCTTAGTTTACAGCAAAATTGTTGATCTTGCTAGCAAAATGGCGCACTTTGCTCTAATGTGAATTGGCTTGTTGAGAGCAAGAATGTTGTCCTTGCCAGTCAAGTGGTGTACTGTCATGATGAAACATATAAATTAAATCTGTTTGTAGTTAGCGTAATCATAAAATGCGTTGAAAAAATATTGTTGAAAGAATGTGTTTAAAAGAAATATATATTTTTTAATATCTATAGTTTTTTTTAATATTTATAATTTTGAGTAAATTTTATTGAAAAGATATATACTTCATTAAATACTTATATACTGTTACTTTTTAAGTAAATTTTGTTGAAAAGATATATACTCTGTTCCTTTTTGTTAACAATTTTTATTTTGTTAATTTAAAAAAAATTTGTTTAAAAGATATATACTCTGTTCTTTTTTGTTAACAATTTATGCTTTTGATGATAAATAAATGTTGTTAAAAACAGGCTTCCTTTTTGCTAATAGCTCCTCCCCATTTAAACATTTAAAAGTTTTTATTTTCCTTCATTAAATATGTACTTATATTATATTAAATATGTACATTAAATATATACTTCTACTGTTTTTTTTCATAAGCTTAAGTATACAAAGTGTTATAACATAAGTTTTAGGAACTTTCATTAAATTTTTTAGGATTTTTTGTATAGAGAATGTTTCTCCATAATAATATTTTAATGTTTTGTGTATATATATATATATATATATATATATATATATATATATATATATATATATATATATATATACATATATATATATATATATATATATATATATATATATATATATATATATATATGTATATATATATATATATATATATATATATATATATATATATATATATTTATATATATTTATATATATTTATATATATTTATATATACATATATACATACATACATACATACATACATACATACATACATACATACATACATACATACATACATTCATGCATACATACATACATACATACATACATACTTTTTTTTAAACATTTTCATTTCCAACAAAGCTGCAAGCAACCACTAATTAGTGTTAGAAGTTACTGGAAGAGAAAAGATGAAGATTGTAGAGCAAGATAACAATTGACAGACAACTTAAAAGATTGCAAATTTTATGATCAGGAAAACAAGATGAAGGAAACGAATTCCAAAGAACTGATGCTCGAGGAAAAAAACTAGACGAATAAGAGTTTTTGGAGCACTTAGGAACAGTAACAGAAAAAGGATGAAACTTAATTGAATGACAAGTAACACGAGAATGAATTTTAGTAGATGGCACAAGAGATGCTAGTTCTTTAGAGCATTGCCCATTATAGTATTTGTAGAAATGAAAAAGAGAAGCAACATTACGAAGATGTGACAAAGGTTGAAGGCTGGCTGCAAGAGCAGGTCCAACTATGTTTACAATGCGTTTTTGCTTCTTTTCTAAAAGAGAAAGGGCATCATTTAAAGATCCACCCCAGATATGGCAACAGTATTCCATACAAGGCCGGATTTGAGATTAAAAGAGATAGAGAACAGAATCCAGAAAATGTCGAACTGGATAAAGAGATAAAACTTCAGCAGATGCTAATTTTGCAACGAATTTGATATAAGGTTTCCAAGAAAGATCAGAAGTAAGAGTTAATCCTAGATGATGAAGAGTAGATGACTCGTCAAGTATGATCATCTTATCAAATTATTGCGTTATCGCAATAATTTAGACCTTTCAAAATATAGGAAGGTCTAAATTATTGTGATAATGATTAGCTGAAAAAAATTGCGTTTTATCATTAAAGTTCACCAGCCACTGTGAATTAAAGTTCACCAGCCACTGTGAACCCCATGCTGTAGCAGAAGTGAGATCCTTTTCAAGCTCAAATGCCTCCTGCAAGCAATCAAAGGGAGTTGGTTTCTTATTGTAACAAGAATAAATTGTAGTATTATCAGCAAACAATGCCACCTTAGATGTGAGAATATCTGAAAGATTGTTAATGTAAATTATAATGAGTATAGGACCAAGATTGAACCTTGAGGAACCCCTGAGGTTACAGAATAAGAAGAAGAGTGCTGTTCATCAAGGACAGCTTTTATACAACAATTGGAAAGGAAGAATTCAATAACCTTAAAGATGTTTCCAGATACACCGTAAGAAGAAAGCTTATGGAGAAGACCAGCATGCCAAACTTTATCAAATACTTTAGAAATGTCAAGAGCGATGGCCTTAACCTCTCCACCTTTATCTAATGCACGATTAAACCTATCGGTTATTAATGATAGCAAATCATCCGTAGATCGAAATCCATATCGATGATCAGAAAGTAAGTTATTATATTCAAGATGAGAGATTAAGTATTTGTTAATTAAAGATTCAATAACCTTGCTTATGATAGGAAGAAGACTATTGGGACGGTAGTTAGACAAATCAGATCGCTCTCCAGAATTTTTAAAAATAGGGATAACAGATGCTGCTTTCCAGCAGGCTAGAAAACAAGACTCTGATAAGTACTTATTGAATAGTTTTGAAAGGATAGATGACAGCTCCGGAGAACACTTTTGCAAGACTATAACAGGTATGTTGTCCGGGCCACAAACTGTAGACGAGTCTAAGCAGGAAATCACTTTAGATACAGAAGCTGGAGTGATATGGATGTCGGGGAATGAATCAACCTGTTTGACGGCTATATCAGGTAGAACGCAACTAGTGGAATCAAGAGATGATATTGATAAAAAGTTCTTAGCAAACAATTCAACTTTGTCTTTAGGTGAGGTGACAAAGTCTGAACCATACAAAAGAAGTCGAATTACAGACTTATTATTGATACCTAATTTTTGATACATACATACATACACACATTATATTTTTTCTGCATTGTATTATTGACCTTTTTCTTTAGATTATTAAATATATAAAGAAATTAAAATAGCTTAAGTAGTTTCATTATTTTAAAGTTTCTTCTCTTGAAGCAAATGTATGATTGTTTATAGAGGTTTTCTATTATTAGTTTTGTTTTACTTATTTATTGCATATATTGCATTAAATACATTTCAAATTAATAAAAGGGATTATATGATAGAGGATTACATTTAGGGAATCCAATACCAGTCAAAAAATCAATACCGGTATTTTGATATTATAAAAACATAATACCGGTATTAAAACCAATATTAAATATTTTAAGGAAAGTAAATAAATTTACGAATCACGAAAACTTGAAAAGAATGCAAATTTATTGATCTATATGGTAGAATCTTTATCTTTTATTCTATGAAAATAAGCTCTTAAAAAACAAAGAGCATCCAGAGTTTTGTCATCCATTCTGCATTGCAACTTATTTAAAATAATACAGGCAGCAGATAGTAGCTAAAACTGTTTCAAAATCAAAATCAACTGTTTCAAAATCAGAGGATGAAGAAATTGGCCAAGCAGCTTTAGAAGCTAGACCAACCCTTTATCAAAATTTGTTTGACTGATACAATTTTCCTTCCCATGAGGAAGTTGCTATTGTGTTTGTGGGAGGTGATAGTGCTCCACCTGCATCCAGGGAAATAGTTATATATCCTCGAGGACAGCCTTTGAGAACAATTTAATCTACCTCTGCAAATTTAGATCCTATGGTATATCCAATATTTTTCCTGAAAGGTGATGCTGGATGACACAATCAACTGGAACACAACCCTGACCATGCAACTTGTGTTAGAAACCATGTTACTTTGTCTCAGTATTATAATTATAGGCTTGTTGTAAGACAAACTTTTAGTCATATATTCTATGGTAAGAAACTTTTTCAGTGGTATGCAGTTAATGCATATGTCAAAATTGAGGGACAGCGCCTTTGCTATTATTTGAAATAACTAAAACAAACTTAGAAGTGAACAATATGATTACATTACAATATGTTCATGCATTGCATGAACATGTAATGTAAAAAAAAATTGCAATAACAATGTAAATAAAGGTCAGGGTTAAACATTTGATAAAGTTGCTATCAATCTTGAAAAACCTTGCTTTTCACATGACCAATTTTATGTAGCATGTTCCAGAATCAAGTCATTTAATAATTTGTTTTTAAGTTTGATAAACATGCATTACAAGGTATGCCAGTGAACGAATATTATCCAAATGTTTTATTGGTAAATGTTCCTATAGTTTTTGATAAGTATTTTTATATGTCATATGATGTGGTAATGTGTGTTTTTATTATGTGTTATATAAGGTTATATGGATTTATATTTTTTAAGTGTTTCTATGTGTGTGCTGTTAGTCGTTAAAATATGTACAACAAACTCTGGATAACATGATAACCCTTAACAACTTTAACTAATTTTAAAATCAATATTAACTCCAGTTGAAAAATAAATTTTTAACTTGAGTTTTAGGTTTTTCTTTATTTATTGATAATACTCCTAATAACTCTAGTATTCTCTAACAAGCTAATTTCTTGGTCCCATTGGAGGTTTGAGTAATTGAGAATTTACTGTAATATGTTATGTTATTTGTTAATTTTGTGATGTTACTGTTGTGTTGTTTTGTGCTGATAGAAGACTTGGCTTACCTTCACGCCTGTGTCATAGTTAAAAATGATTATTGGGTAATTTTATTACTGAAACTGACTACATATAATCATCCACTAAAGGCCATGGATTCAGTTTTCTAATAAAAAAAAAAGATTTATCTTATTGAGATTATTTATTTTTAGCCTTGCTTTTTTAAAAAGAATTGGTAATCCAAACTTACAAGAACAAATCTTAAAACTTTCACAAAAGAAAAACACTCACAAAAAAAGTTTCATATTGTTATTTTTGAGTTTTCAAATAAATAATTAAAGTACATAACACATTAATGTGTATTACGTGTTTTCAATAAAAAATTTTGTTCTATTTTCAGGTCAAATTACTTCTTTTATGACTGATTTTTGAATGTTCCTATATAGCAGTATTTAAAAAATGTTCTTAATGTTTTCTAAAAGCCAAAATGAAATTCAATAATATTCATACCATTTAGTAAAAGCTATATAATAATGAAACAATGTTATAAATTGCTTTATAAATTCTTCACAACTGTCTTCTATGTTAAAAATACTTTTATAATGTAAAAACTACTGAGGAAAGTAATTTTTAATGAAGTTATAGTTAATAGTTAATAGTTTTTAATGAAGTAATAACTGTTAACCAAAAGCCAAGAACTTTTATTCAATTTTTTGCTGTTTACTAAAATGTATTGAAGTATAGAGACTAAATTAAGAATAAGTTTAGAATAGTGGGGTGTGGACTTAACATGACCCATATCATACAGGTCTTTACAGCTATATATAAAACATTTTATTTTATGGTAGTCTAACTATGCTTTAAGCAACAAAATTTTACTGTGCTTAATTAATTTTTATTAATTAAGGTATACATTGTGTATATATATATACACAAAAATAAGCAAAATATTTGAAAAATTCTTTAAATTCTTTAAAAAATATTAGACGATAAGTTAAAATTTTTTTTGACAAATTTATGAAATGTTCTTTGAAGTTTAGTATGAACATAACGTTAATTGAATGTTTTCTACATGCACGTGCAATACCGAGAAGTTTTACTATTGGAGTCGGAAAAAAAGTATGACCATTCAATATTTATAGTGACCACTCAATACTTATAGTGACCACTCAATATTAATAGTGGCCACTCAATATTTATAATGGCCACTCAATATTTATAGTGACCACTCAATATTTAAAGCGAACATTCAATTTCTTATAGTGACCATTCATTATTTATATTGACAGACCATTTTTATACTGAATAGTGTGTGAATTATAACTAAAAAACATTTTAATTTAAAAAACAACTTGAACAAAAAAAGTAAAAAGAAGTCTTAGTATAAAACGTATTTTTGTAGAAACTTTAAGAACAACCTCTATTATTTCCAACAACAAGAGATTCATATTTGTTTTTTGTTCAATATCAAATTTTTTATTTAATATATGTTTCATATGTTAAACAAAAAACATTAAGACATTATTTTATAACACTTTCATTATAGTTTATCTGAGATCTGTTAGTGAGGTTAAATTCTGTTTAGAAACCTCTGCTTCCGATTTTATCTAACAGTTTTTGACAGGATTTAAAGCGAGTGAATTGTCTTGTCACAGGTCAAAAATATTAACTGAATTTTTTATGGAGCCATATCTTGACAATATTTGCAATTTCTGATGGCAAGTTGCCTCATCGTGCATGAAAAAATCAAACTTTTTTATTTTTCTAGTTTTATTTAATTTTATTTGAAAAAAAAAATAAAAAATTTGCAGAATTGGCATTTTTAAATTGTTGTAAAAGGTGCACCTTTTACAACAAGGTTATCAACATTATCAAACACATACATTTCTTTTTTTTGGCATTTTTTATCATTTATAATAAAGCTTTTAAAATCATAAGAATGGTTTTTAAACACATAAGAATGGTGGCATAATGAAAAAAAAAAAAAAAAAAAAAAGGAGTGTACCTTGTAAGAAACAATGCAATCCACAAATATTGGTGAGTTATTTCCAGGAACAGTTATCCATCTATGCATTACATATGGTGGCTGAAACAAAAACAAAAAAATATATTATTTTAATTTTAATATTAAAATAATAAGTAAAAAAACATCATCACCAAATCAAATCATCAATACTTCTTGAATGGTCAATTGATCTTCAGGCCATATTAAATGAACTTCCTATAAAACAAAAAAAAGTACAAAAAAAGGTAAATAAATAATTGAATAACATGTTTTTTAATGGCCTTAACATTAAGAGGTGAAGGGACTGTGAAATTATTATATAACTTGATGATTGGTTTTAAAAATGTTCCCATAGACCACTTTTTTTAAACTAGCTAGTTTACTTTTCATATCACTAAATTCAGTGTTTTTCAGTTTTTCTTTTGTTATACAAAACCTTGCTAAAGTTACTTTTTAATGTGTAAGTACATTTTTTATAATGTAATTTTTAAAATTATAAAGAATATTTCATTATTTAAATCTTTTTATGTATGGATATTTCAAATGAGCAGTGATATCATAAGCAAAAACAAATAAACAAAATGAACTAAATTGAAAAAGAATAGAAATTAAGAACTGCTTGACAAGCTAACTAGAATTCCAAATGCACTAGTTATTTTAGGGAGGTTCACTTGCTCTGTTCACTTACTGTTTAAAGCCTCTTTAAACAAATCGGTTTTTTGCAAAGTTATTGTCTGCGAATTAATTTCATTATGGACCAAACTAAATTTTCAAGCGATAACAGATACATAAGTTTCAAGAAAAGTTGAAAATTTGGTGAATAAATACCACAGACCAGATAGCACTGATGATCAGTATCAGCTATTATAATGAAATATTATTTGATATTACGAATAAAAAAGGTGTATGGCTTAGTACTGAAGAAAGTTTAACAAAGTGCAAGTTGAAAGTAATGGAAAAGATGGATATGTTACTTCAAAAATTGCTCAACTCATCTATCTAAATGTATCGAAATTAAAGTAACTGTTAGCAAAACCATGCATCAAATAGAAATCACTGACTCTATAGTAACAGTGAAAAAGAGACTGACAATAATTTTGCCCAACCTACTAGCAATATCAGTAGACCTAAAAGAAAAAGAAAAGCTTTAAATTGATAACACAGCTGAAGAGCTGTGTTATCAATTGTCAGAAGAAGGTATTAATGTTGTAATAACTAATTAATAACTCCAACACAGGCAGGTATTTACAAAGCAGTTAAAAAAGAAGCTGAAAGATCAAAAAAAATTTTAAAAAATTATAAAAAAATCTTTATAGGCACTACATTTTGAAGGCAAGTTGTAGTTTTAAAAAACAATTATCAGAAAATAAAATTGGCAGCCTTTCTTTTAGAGTATGGCAAAACCAAAACAATAGTTTCAGCATTGATTAATTTGTTAAATGAATTTGGTACATGGGAAGTAATAAAAGTGATTATTTAAGACACAACAAACACAAATACTGAAGTAAAAGGTGGCGTTGTAGCATATTTAAACAAAGAGTTCATAGCCAGGAACTTAGAAGTTCCACAAATTATTGGTTGTTAGCACCATGTGTTAGATTTGTTGTTGAAGCATGTCATGTATTAAATTTTTGGAGGCAAAACATTGTCACCAAGTATAAATTATTTTTTTGTTCATCAACAAATATATTGTGTCACTTCCAAACTCCTGGCTATAAACTCTTTGTTTAAATATGGTACAACCCCACATTTTGCTCCAGTATTTGTGAACTGATACAAAATTATATATAAAAATTTCAAACAGTCAACATTGATCATCAGCATACCAGTGGTATGGCAAGATGACATGACGTTTTTGTGTGAACTAGAGCATCATTACAGATATTATGTGGAAGAAAAAAAAGATTATGCTAAAATCAATTTTAAGGTTCTTCCTAATACTAGTATTGCTAGATGGAATTCAAGAGGAATTATAGCAACACTGGCATTTATTTTATTGCCAGAATGTTGGCAGCAATTGCAACCAGCATGCAAGTTTATTACTGGTGAATGGATGAATATCTGGTTTTCCGATCACTTTTATAATAGAACAAACAATGAAGTTTTATAAACTGCAATTAACCAGTATGAAAAACCAAAAAAATCCTTTTTAAGACACTGGTGTAATCAAGAAACTGTCATAAACACTGCAAGATCCAGAACATGTAGTAAAAACAGTGCAAGAAATTAAGGTTTATGTAAAAACTGAAAAAACAATCAATAAAAAACTGATTTTTTGTAATAAAATTTAAAAGTTATAAAGGTACTAATTTTTTAACAACAAAAAGTGTGTATATACCATGTATATATATACCATAAATACCAAATGTATATACCATGTATATACATACAAAATGTATATACTATACATAGCAAATGTAACAAAAAAAACTTTAAAGAGAATATGAATAAATAAACAAAAGAAATCAATCAATAAATTTTTCACAAAAATAGATACCGTTTACAATATAGTATAAAAAAATATAATGCTTTGTGAATGACAGATACTATTCAATTTTAAAAACTAATGTAAACAAAAAAATATATAAAACATAACTGCATTATCAACTTTTTTTTAATTTTAAACATTTTTTCATTATTTTAACTCTAGCTTTTCTTTTCTTTCTAATTTCTATATCCAACTATGCACTTAGTTTCCAACTCTGCACTTAGTTTCCAACTCTGCACTTAGTTTCCAACTTTGCACTTAGTTTCCAACTCTGCACTTAGTTTCCAACTCTGCACTTAGTTTTCTTTCAAGTTTTTATATCCAACTCTGCACTTAGTTTCCAACTCTGCACTTAGTTTTCTTTCAAGTTTCTATATCCAACTCTGCTCTTAGTTTCCAATTCTGCACTTGGTTTTCTTTCAAGTTTCTATATCCAACTCTGCACTTAGTTTCCAACTCTGCACTTAGTTTTCTTTCAAGTTTCTGTCCAAATTTTACTTTTTGTTGACTATCTATAAATACAACCTTTGACCTTTTTGTCACAAATTTTTAATATTTTGTTTCCCTCTTCCATAAGTTTTTTAGCAGAATCTAATTGGATTCTTAGCTTTTTTTATATATTTTTATATATTTTTTATAAATTTTTTATATATTTTTATATAGAATCTTTAACATCTTCAAACTTTAATTTTATATAATTGCACTTTGCCAACACAAAACAATTAATTCTTGTAAAACTATTTTGAGTAATCTTTTATTGATAGAAAAATTCTCTTTTTTGAATCTGCATTTCTGAAATGTACATTGTCTTAATCTTTGCATCGATCAAGTCAAGAGTTTTCAACTTTGATATAGGCTTTGTTTGGATGGTTGCAGAATAATATCATTAATAACAAACCTTGAAAGCAAACCATTTAGAAGTTTCTGTATTTTTAGAAACAGGACTGTAATCATTGGCTGTTTTGTTTCTAATGTAACTGTGAAGCCTTTAAAATCATAAGCAATAAAAATACATTTTAGTGCTTTCTTGTACCTTTCAGTTGTTGGAACATCTACTTTATCATTGAACTTTTTTTGATTTGGTTAATCTTTTAAAAAGAATTCTCACAAGTTGTTAAAAACCATTATTCTGACTAACATGTTTTGCTTATCAAACATGACACTCATTGTCTTTGTAGCTCAGTGAATGATTATTCCACAGCAAAATATTCTTCAATACTTTTTGAGAAAATTAAAAAAAAAACTTTGCAAAACAAATGCTTATTAGTCCAAATCAATATTGTCAGAAATCAATACCTTCAAACCTTTCGAAAAAGCATTGGAAGTTGTATAGAGTGGACATGACCATAAAAATAAATAATATTTTTTTTTTTTCAAGATAATTTCCCAACTTTTTTAAAAACAATTAATTGACCATTCCTACAAATGGAAACAAGTTATTGACATTAGTACCATTCCTACTAATGGAAAGAATTGACTTGTTGTACTTGAATTTTCCCTAAGAACTTTTTAAAATGATCAAGGTCTTCCACAGTACACCACCCACAAACAATGTCCGTAAGTACACTGTTATGATTTGCTGTAAATTATTTGAATGGGATGTTATATAAGCATTATATTGTTTTTTTGTTTGTAACGCAGTTATTTTATCAAATCAGAACGTGAAAGATGAACATTTTAATTCATAACTTTTTGCATACAAGGCGCTATTCTGTTATGCAGTTTTTTCATCAAATCGGAATGTGAAATATAAACATTTCAACTCATTATAAATAACTTTTTAAATACAAGGGGCTATTTCAATTCAAATCATATACTCCAGCTTATCTAATTTTTTGGTATGTTTTAGCAATATTAGAATCCAGAAAGATACGCTTATATCTAGCATAGCCACTATCAGCTGCAGCAAGTGCACAGTTTGAATCAATAATGTCTAAAATGTCAGTCATAGCTACTTGCTTTTCGGTGTTTAATGCTTTGCTTTTTAGGAATAGCTTTAGAGCTAAACCATCTAAGCTTTTCACAAATTTTGACTGGGATCTAGCTCATTTTGTATTTTCTTTGTGTTTTTTTGACTTCAAATGAGGATTAAGCAGGGTTACATTAGCTGAAATGTTTGTGTTCGCAATAAAACACGTTTAATAAACTTATTAGAAGTTTTTTCTTAAATAGCTCTTTTTCCAGGATAATTAAAACTTTGTCTTTCCCATTCTGAAAAATTTACATATAGTAAATTTAAGTAAATATATAACTCCTGCCTGATTAAAATGTTTATATTAGTGTAGCAGAATCTAGCAAATCTAAGTTTAACCATCCTATTTGAACTTTTTACAATAAAAGAGAACCCTTTACAATGAATTTCTAATGATGATTTTGCAGAAAAGGCTCTTTAGCTGGGATGAAGCAAACATATCTATCATAAGCAAAACTCTGATTCCATGAAACCCCTCCCTCCTTCCTCCAATAAAAATGCAGTACGGGTAGTAGGAGCTTGTAAACCTTGGGTGGTAATCTTGACAGTTGTAGTATCACATAAAAATACCAAGTTCTGATCTGCAAAACAGACTACACTGTAAAGGATATCCATTTATTTAAAAATGCTTTGACTCTTTTGAATATTTTTATTTAATTTAGAACACTACTTTATGGAAACCCATTAACCATAAATAGTTAATTAACTAATTAGTTAGTTAGTTAATTAATTTATAATTAAAATTACTTAATAGTTAATTTAATAGTAAATATTCATTTGTAAATAATTAAATTATTTACAAATGAATGACAAACAACACTATATAAAATTGCAACTTTGATAACATACCTAAAATATTGCAGGTAAAAAAAGTTTTTAGCTTTTTTTGTAACTTAAAAATTTTGTTTAAAAAAATTCGTACAAAATTTAATTAAAAGTCTTGTCCCTAAATTTTATCTTTCCGGTAGAAAATAAAATATATTCCTTGTATAAAAAATTCATGGTCTGGTTTAGAAAAATCATATCCCACAATTTTCTGCACTGCTTTTTTTTTAATGGATCTGCTTTAAATCTCCAGATACAACTATATGCAAAGAAACTGTTTGTTTGTTTGATCAGTGTCCATTAACTACACTTTTAAAAATTCAAGTTGAAAAAAAATTTCACCACTTCCTGCAAAATGTGTTTTGTTGGCACAAAAGTTGACATGGTTTGAGCACAATGTCTGTTGTTAACAAAGTTCTTCATCTTCATAAGTGGCATGATTTTTAAAGGAAATGACAACACTTGAACATAATTATAATTACAAGCATATGTGCTTCACAATCATTTGTAAACCCCTTATAACTTATTTACACGCCAATAAAGATATTCAGATATAAAATTATTTAGATATAAAGCTATTAAAATACACTGTAAATCCAAAAGGTTATTCGCGGTTCTTTGCCAGTTCTTTGAAGAACCTAAAGGTTCTTGAAGAAAATTTAATGTTCTTTAAAGAACCTACGGGTTCCTAATATTCTCTAATGGTTCTCTGAAGAACCGACGGCTTATTTACAAAGCAATACAAAGAACCCACAAGGTTCTTCAAATCGTTTTACGGAAAACTCCGAAGAACCTAAATTTAGGGTTCTTCAAATCTTTTGTAAACGCCATTTTATTTTTCTAATCGGTCGTTATATAGGTAGACTAGTATGAATTTATAAAGAATGGTATAATATTAATAACAAATGATTATTATGACAGTATTTAATTTGTGCCTTAAACATTTGAGTTGTTTTTATTACTGTTGTAGACACCAACACCAACAGCGACTATAAAAGCAACATGTTTTTTTTTTTATTTTCAAGCAGTTTTCTTGTTCCTATATGCTTTTATTATGCATATTATAAATAAATATATCATTGTATATTGCAAATGGTTTTGTTTAGATAAATATATCATTTGTTTAAATTTAAAAAATGGCAGATTATTTGAACTGGAGTATAGAAGATGTTTGCGTATACTTAGAACTTAAAGGACTCCCAGAACTTACGTACTTTAAAGTTATATATAATTTATACGTGTGTATATATGTTATCCATTTATCATTAATTGCTTGATATATACTACAAGATGGCTACACCTATATTACTCTAAGAAACTTGTGTTTTAAATAACCTTTTCTTGCATGTTATATTTTTTATGTGAATATTTTGTTATTTAATTAAAGCACAGTAAAAGGGAAACTGGAATAATAATCTTAAGAGAGTCAATTCCCATTAATATTTTTTTAATTATTAATTTTTTGATTATTATTATTTATTTAATAAAACAATTATTTAAAATAGTATAAATAGCAAATTAAAAATTTTTTATAAACAGGGTTGTTTGGTTGATTAGTTCAGTTGGTTTAAATTATTTGATTTAAATCGATTTAAATCATGATTTTAATCAGACAAATAAAAATTACGATTTAAATTGACTTCTTTGATTTTAATTATTTTTAATGATTATTTATTGATTAATCAACTTAAGTAAATTACACTGGCTAAATATAACTACTGCATAAACTAGTATTAGTTATAATAGTCAGATAATGCATTATAAATTATATAGTAGTCATATAAATCATTAAGTTTTTTAATTTATTGTAAGATTTTTATCCATATAAGTACATACATTTTCTTCTTCATGTTTTAACTTATTGACTAATTACATTAGTTTCTGCTTTTGTTACTATTTATATGATAAATATAAATATATTCCTTTTATATTAAAGTATTTTCAAGCTTTTTTAAATTACAGTACTCATTTATAATTGTTGTTATTTTTTAGTTGCAAATAAAATAATATAACTAGAAATAAAAATGTCTGGTGCTGGTAGAAAAATAGATGCAGTTTTGAAAATGGTTTGAAGAAATATCTGTAAAGTTTGGTAAAGGGTAAGCTGTGGTGTACAAATGCAAGATTTGGTTGCTCGAATGAGACACCACAAAATGTACTTTTGGTAAATGTAATTTTTTGAAAGATGTTTAAGATGATGACAACATTATTATTTGTCGAGACAAATATCAACCAGGCAACTAAAGAACCGCAAGCTAGTCAATGTTCTGTTAAGAAAACTGAATCTAGTCAATCTGCTGTATGCCCATGCTGTTGTGAGTTTCTAACTAATATTTCCAAAATATTTTGTACTCTGTTATATATATACTTCATATATGAAGTCTACAAGTCTACAAAAAGTTAAACTCATTATATTCTTAATTATATTATTTTGTATATTTAAATATTAAAGAAATAAAATGACACTGAGATATATTATATATAAATAATTATATATATATATATATATATATATATATATATATATATATATATATATATATATATATATATATATATATATATATATATATGTTTAAAAATATTATATTTATATTAATTGTTTAAAATTAGTTTTTCTTTTCTTTATTGCCATATATTGCAATATAAATTAAATTTTTAGGAAAGTCGTTGTTTACATTTTAATTTTGGCGTAATATAACTTGCTTAAATATCTTAAAATAATCAAATATTAAAAATCTATTACATAATTATATATTATATAATTATTTGATAATAAAAAATGTTCAAGAATTCAAAAAAGTATCAGTGGAATGTTAACAATAATGCAAAAACAATGAACGGTTCAATGAAGAACTATAACAAGTTCTTTAAACTACCGTTTTTTAAGGGTCTTCCAAAAAACCCTTTTAAATGGTTCTTAGAAGAACCTCTACGGTTGCTCCACCAGCATCAACGTGAAGAACCTTACTTTAAGGTTCTTCTGAAGAACCTTCTTAAAGGGTTCTTTGAAGAACTTCTATGGGTGCTCCACCAGCGTCAACCCGAAGACCCCTTAAGGGTTCTTTAAAGAATCATTTGGCTTAAGACTGTACAAAAAAAATATATATTTTAAAATGATCCAAAAGTTTACAAATAAAATAATCAAAATTTAAATGAATAGTAACTTTTTTAACTAAATAAAGATTTAATTTCCAAAAAAACATAACAAACGATTAACCTTAATTGCAAGTATAGCTTCATCATCACCATCTACTTCAATAAACAACTTCCATTTATGGTCCTTTAAAATTAAATAAACAAACAATAACATGATAATAAATTGAATAAACTATAATATAATAACAAATAAATAATTAAACAAAATTATGTATAAAAAAAATAGAAAAATCAAAAAGAATATTAAAAATGGTAATAATATAAATATGTATCAAATACCATTGGAGTAGGTCCCAGTCTACAATGATTTCCAAAGATTAGGGTTAAATTTTGGACTTTTTGATTACGTATTTGACTTTCAATACTTGGAACCTAAAAATTATATAATTTATATTATATATTTAAAATTTCTATAAAAATAATAAAAAATAAAATATGATAATTAATAAAAAGAATTTGTACAAAAAACTGAAATGTTTTATACATTTGATTTATTATTGACTAACAACCTATTGTATACATATAAATATTTTTACGTGTTCTGTAAAACGTACAAACATTCTTTTTTTTTTTGTTCTTTCAGGAATGGGAGAGGAAAAAAAGAGGGGCTTTTACTGTTGTTGGTCATCATGTATTTTTTGTTAATAAACCTTGATTAAAACATTGTCTAAAAAGTATGTATAGTATATATGCTGTATGAGAAAGACTGCAAATATTTATTTTGCAGCTGCGGTACATTGGCTACAGTTCTGTAGTATGTGAATGGTTGTTAATGTGAATGGTCGATTACAATAATAAATCAAATGTTTTATACATTTGATTTATTATTGACTAACAACCTATTGTATACATATAAATATTTTTACGTGTTCTGTAAAACGTACAAACATTCTTTTTTTTTTTGTTCTTTCAGGAATGGGAGAGGAAAAAAAGAGGGGCTTTTACTGTTGTTGGTCATCATGTATTTTTTGTTAATAAACCTTGATTAAAACATTGTCTAAAAAGTATGTATAGTATATATGCTGTATGAGAAAGACTGCAAATATTTATTTTGCAGCTGCGGTACATTGGCTACAGTTCTGGCTCACATTCAAGAGGTTGGCTCCAGCCAAATAAGTGTTATTACTGTTAAATGAGCCTTAATGGTGCTGTAAAGACCCATAAGCATCTTTGAGCACCTGAAAAAATCATACACATACAAAAACCTTAACAACCATTCACATACAAAAAGATAAGATAAGAAAGGAAAAAACTATAAATCAAATAATTTTCAGTTAAAAACTCTTTTTTGCTAACAAAATTAAATAATTTTGCAAACAAAGTTTACGTAACAGAAAAGAACGGATTATAGAAAAAAATTACCTGATGAAGAGGTGGGAAATGATGCAAATGTTCTAATTCTTCAACTAATTTACTAATTTGATCCTAAAATATACCAAATTAAAATTTTAGTGTGTTAAAAAAACTTTAAATAATTCTACTAGCCATACACATTATTTAGACAAATAAAAAAACTGTATACATGACTACTAACAACAGTATTGAAAAATTTTTTATGAAAATTATGTATGAACATGATTTTACAAATTTTTAAAAACATTTTTAAAAATTAGCGAGAGTTATTTCAGTATTTTCAAAAGTATATCAAAAAAAAAATTTTCTAATACTTTTAGACTCCTTCTAGAAAACATTAAAAATGTTCCCATAGTTTTTCTTTTTACATTGTTGGCGTGTAGATGCTTACAATATTGGCGTGCTAAATTTGCTTAACCAGTCATCTCAAGTACCTTTAATTTCCCAACCTTGTTTTTTAATATTATTCTTTTATCTATTCAATATATTTGTACTTTTATCTTTTTAATATATTCATACAGACCTTTAGTAAAGATTGGAACAAAAATAAAAATAATTTTGACTGTAAATCAAAATAACTGCCATCAAACCTTTGAAAATGCAAAACCAAATTATTATGAATACAAAAAAGATTTTCAAGATTTTTAACAATTTGAAGAAAAAAAACAAATTATTAGAAATACAAAATAAATGGACATAAATTAACTACAGGTTTAACACAAAATCAAATATAGAAATACACTGTAGATTTCAATTATTACATAATAGAACATTATTTTAGATTGTTATTTAAAACTTTCTAATGATTCTTTTGTGCAACATTCTAATGATTTTTGTGTGCAACTTTCTAATGATTTAGAATAACTATTCCATAAACAGAGTAAACAAACAATTTTCATATTTTGAGAATTTTTTAAAAATACAGAAATAGATATAGTTTTATCAGAACTTGTTGAAACTTTTTAAAATTTGTGAGATGAATATATTAATATACAAAATGACCTGTGACTAAAATAGCAATTTAAATACAATTAACAAACTAAATTAGTATACTAACCAATAAATCAAGTCTATGCCCATGTGATAAAATTCCCATATATTTCAAATCTTCATTTGTAAGTAAACTCAATCTAGATATGAAAACTTGAAAGAATTTTAAATTTTAAATTTCTTATATATAAACCATTTTTTTAGTTAAAGTTAGTTAAAGTTAGTTAGCCATTTCATCTTTAGCAATTCAGAGATATATCTATCAGATATCCTATCTATCTATACCTTCCTATCTATCTATACCTTCCTAGCTATAACTTCCTATCTATCTATACCTTCCTTTCTATCTATACTTTCCTATCTTTACCTTCCTATCTATCTATACCTTTCTGTCTATCTACAATATTTACTTCTATTTTTAATAACTAAAATATAAAAAATTTTATTTTTTGAATACCTCCTTCCATTGATATGATTGTCAAAGAAAATTTGACTATATGGGTACAGATCAATTGCTTCATTACCCAGCTGCTCAATCCAGCAATATACGTCAGATTCATCCCAATCAACAAGCTTTGTTTTGTTGAGCATTTTTACAAGGTTTATTTTCTGTTCTTTTTTTAAGAGTCGAAGTTCACGCTCGTGTAACTCTTGTTCTTTAGAAGATAAGTTTTTCTCCATTTTTTTAAGTCTAAGAACAGTTTGTTCAATTTCTGCTTGCCAATCCTTTTTGTTACGTATAAATGAATTGGTTTCTTCAGCCAAAGCATTGTTATCAAGCATTTTATTAATAATCGCCTGTATTTGTTTAAAATTTGGTCGCAGCTAAAATCAAGCATTTTCATGAAGTGCTTAAATGATAAAGAGTACAATTAAAACTGTGAACTGCAAACTGCAACCAGAAAAACATGAACTTTTTTGAAGCTTTTGCAAATGATATTATTTAGTCTTAGTTATAAGTCATAATTCACTACACTATTTTTAATTAATTTATTTTTTTTAATAACTTTAATCATTACTAAGATATGTTGTAACCAATGTTCAGATTTTATTTGTTTGTAGTTTGCAGTTTAGCCAGTATATATAAAATAAAAGCAAGAAACTTTTTGAGACAAACCTTTGGATCAGTTTTCCAACATGAGACTAGTAGATTTGAAAACTCAGGTGGGCATGATGATGGAATTGTTAACCTCTAAATATATATTTAATTAATTTATATATTATTAACCTGTTTCTCCCCGCAGTGGCCTTGCTTGTCAAGATTTGTGTTTTGGAGTTAGAGAGTTGAGAGAGGGTTGTAACCATAATTAAAGAAGCCTCCTTGACTGTAGTGTTGAGGTGAAATAAAAATAAATAACAAAAATGAAAAACTTTATTCAGACTTTGATTCAGGTTTTCAAAATATATTTTAGTTTTTTACAAAATCAAAAATATATTATAGAATGGAATTTTTTTCCAAGATGAAGAAAGCATTTTCATTAACAAGAAATTGAATATTATTTTACTGAAAAATTGTTTATGTATAGTGGATTAAATTATGCTTAAGTTGCTTTGAACCGATAAATATAAATTAAAAAAATAAATAAATAAGGTTTTTACTAAATACATTTTGTTAAAAATATTACTAAATACATTGAAGAAAAATTGCTAAATACATTTTATTAAAAAATTATTAAATTCATTAAGACTGGCTGTCAAAGTCAAAGTAAAATGTCTAAGTCGGTAAGGATTAGATAAATGGTATAAGAATACATAAAAGATATACAAATATACATTCATTTATATTTAGGATATGATGGGGTAATTATAGCTGCTTCTGACTTGATGCTTAAAGAATATTGTTTACAATAATTGACTCAATTGACCCACATTACCACTAAGTGTGGTAATGTGGGTCGGTTGAGCATTGTTGTAAACAAAAATGCTCAAATAACTTTTTTGAGATAAAAAAAAGTTACTTTGTAAACAATAATGCAACAAAATAACTTTTTTTTTATCTTAAACAGCCATTAGTCTTTGACTAATTATTTCTTAAAAATCCAACTTTTAGTCTTAAAACTAGTTGGATTTTTAAGAAATATCTCTTATAGATTTTCTATTTGCTAGAACTCACTTTTAATACCTTTTTTTTTTTTTGAAGTTTAAGATTTTTAATAAAAATCTCTGTTTAAACATATGTCCTATTTTAAATCAAAACTATACTTAAAAATTTAGCTTGTAAGCTGATGATAAAACTTTAGGGGGTTGTTATCATCAATAACATACAAAAAAAATTATTTAATCTTTTTTCAGAAAAACTGATAAATAGACTTACATTACCCCATAGACTAAAATTACTCCAACCTATAAACTTGGGTTCAGTCACTACAGATTGGTACAAAGTTTTTTCACCACAATTTGTAATTCAAATGCCAAAAACTATTTTTAACAATATGTATGTATATATATATACAGTCAAAGAGGCTACTCATTTTTTGTTGCATTTACAATCAAATATTTGTTAAAAATTTGAAAACAAAATTACAATTAAAATAAATTGAGTGTTTTAAAAGTTTTTTAACTAAAACAAAAATAACTAATCAATAGAAAAATATTCAATAGAATAACATTTCATAAGCTATATATATACTATAATTATAACTATATATACATATTTATTCATATACATTAGGGGTAGTCAATTTGAGGAAATTTTCAAATCTAAAATACCATACACTCTAGATTTGGGGCAAATATTAAAAAAACAACTCCCAATTCGAGCCAACAGAACCACTTTATCCTTACCCCCTAAGCACTTTTTTAGAAAAAAAATTCTCAAAAACCTTCAAAAATTGCCGATTTTACAGGTCCAGGGGGGAAGTTTAATTACAAAATTTTGAATTTTTTTTTTTTTGGGTTGCTCATTTTTACCTACATATTTGAGTAAAAGTATATGGTATCATAGTATTGTTCAAAAAATATTTTTATTTTTGTATTTTGAATTGAGAAAATTACAATATTTGATGATAGTTTCATGTTATTGAATTATATTTCAAAAGCAAATAATTTCAGTTGTGTTCATGTTCATTTTCACCACTTTTCTTCCTTTTATTTAGAGAAGATAAGCTTTCAAAAAATTTACTTTTAGAAAGTTTGTTTGAACATCTTCCAGGTGTTCTGAAAGCACACCAAACTTTTTCAACAGTTAGCAATGTATTCAGTTTATCTTCCTCATTGTTGTATCTGTGAATAAATTGCTGCATCATTCCAACAGATCTTTCTGAATGATCATTTACTACAATTAAAGATTTGGCAAAATTCTGAAAGTTTTTAAAAACAGATTGGGTAAACCAATACTCAGGGGGAAGCGAAAGCCAATCTTTTATCCTTTGTTCCTCTAATCCAATTATATCAAACATAAGATATGAAAATTTGTCAACCAACAGAGCAAGGGAAGAAGGATTTTCACTAATTTCGTTTCCTATTTTTGTTTTATCTTCTATATCTATTTGTTTTTAGTATAGTACCAAGTTGAAATTGGCATTTTAAAAGTTAGAATTACTTTTGCAAGGTTTGCTTTCTCCTCAAATGACAAATCATCATCCAACAGAGCAAGGGGAATAATTGTTGAATCTAAATACTAACTATGTCTGTATAGAGAGTTTAAAACTGCATCGACAGCATCTGGTTTGGCAAAAAGTTTTCGGTACTGTTGCATTTGGTGTATTGCTTTTATATCTAGAAAAGGAGCTTTAATAGTGTCATTAGCCTGAAAATACCATTTGGCATAAAAGCAAACTATAAATTCACTTATTAGACTGATTTCTGTCTTGAGTTTATTGTTCTGATTTACGAACTCAATTTGGCTGGATAGAAGCTGTAGCTTTAGGTAGTAAAGTACTTTGGAAAGGAACCTAGCATGATAGACTGCTCCGGGTTTTCTAAGTGTTACTGAAGACTGAGAAAGGTAACTCACAACAAGTTCTGCAAGCTCCTTTCTATCTTCTCTGATAAAATCTTTATTTTCTTTTCCTTTTGTAATGTATTCTTGACAAAAGTTCAAAGACTCTCGTGCAGCTTTCTCAAGAAAGGTTCCCCTTACTGCTTTCCAATCAAACTTTATAAGTTCTGTTTGATTGTAATTAAAATGAGGACATTTAAAAACAGTTTATAATTTTTTAAACATAGGATTATCTGGTCCTGTAGAATGTTCATCTAAAACTGAATTACAAAAATGAACCATTCTTAATTCACATACATGATGTCTGCATGCAATAAGTAAAAGATATTTGCCTATATTGTTGGATATTCTTATTAAAAAACCTTTCTTTAACCCAGTGTTACTTGCAGTAGTATCAAAACATATTCCTCCTATTTTAAATTCAAGGTTGTACTCCTTAAGAATGTCTATTACACCATTGCACTGATCTTCACCAGAGGATGACGCTAAAGGTGGTACTCCAAGCAGGTGTGTCTCACCTTTAATATTAACAAGTACAGCCAGTCTATCGGTTTTAATTGTTTTTCCTTTGTTTAGTTCAACTAATGTTTTGCCATCAAAATGTACTATGCATGGGTATGGAGATTCATTCATTGCTTGTTGAACATCTTCTTTTGATATCATGCATATATTACGATTGGCATATTTCATTTTTCTAGCTGCTGTAGACTGGCTACATTTGAAATCTGTCAGATCAGCTCCTGATTGAGTTAGAATTGCACCTGTAACTTTATGCAAAACATTTGGAGAAATATCACTGATTATAGCCATAAGGGCTACATTACCAGCAAAAATATCTATGGGAATTTCAGCTGTGACCTTTTGTTGAAAAGGTTTTCTTTCAAACCACTCTCCAGGGATAAAATCAGAATCACGCAAGGAGTCCCCACTAGTATCTGTATCAATCTCAACATTAGTTGTACCCTCTACTTCTTTATATTGTTGTTTCACACGCTGCTTTCATTTTCTGCTACTCACTGTTGCCTAAAAATGTCAAAAGAATTTATTAATTAATAATTTAATTTAAATATATGAGAAATTGAAATTGTGAGTGAACATTGTTATTTAGCTGTTTTTATTTTAAATCTTATTAAATGGCTTACAAATTGTAAGTAAGTTATTTAGAAAGCCTTGAAAACTTTTTTTTTTTTTTTTTGGTTTCAAAGGAATGCATACTTTTTTTCTGTACTTTTTATCTTCTGATCCAAGCATAAATTTTCTTTCCCCTTCTTGGTCCTCCAGAAACTCCAAATCCTCAAGCTGATTCAGATCTTTTTTTATCATTTTTAATTGTATTTCTAAGATCAGGAATGCCAGCCCAAAATACTTTGTTCAGGTAAACTTTAAACTCTTTTTGCTTTGCCAAATCAGCAGCTTGTTGCTTTGCCAAATCAGGATCCCCTTTTTTCATGCTTCTTAAGTTGTGAATATACATTGTCCAGATTTTTCACTAAACTTTGATCGTTTAGTATAGAAAATCCAGCTTTAATCCATGGCTCTTTTACCTTGGCCAAAATACATTCACACTTACTTTTTATTGCACATCTTTGAAATTTTTTTTGAAGAGGACAAGCAAGAATAGTGGCTTTTTTTTGATGTTCTTGGCAAAAATGATTGTTTGTAAGCTAAGTGCTGCAGTATCTCCGTCCCTGTTGGAAGCTGACAGCCTTAATTACAAAAAAGAAGAAACAAAAAGTTTAGCTAAAGTTTTTAGCTTAAGGGATTCATTATAAAACTAAATATTACCTTTTATTGCTGGTTTTGCTTCTTCGATAATGAATAGGTTTTTTTTAGACTTTAGTGTTCTTTCACTTTCTGTTTTCTGACCACGCTCTTCTTTTTTATACATATTTAAATTAATTAATTTAATTTTTACTAATCTAAAAAATCAAGTTTAAGACGATTGCTGTAAAACAATTTACTAATGCAACAAATAGAACCGTTGAATTGTTCTTTGAGCTACTATAGCTGGGTCCCATCAAATTCCCACCTCATAGAAATTACTAAAGTTTATTGTATATTTACATTATTAATTAAAAAAATTAAAAGTATATATTCTTGACAATTATTTATAATCTTTTGTTAGTAGCATACATGCGGTTAGTATATAATTGTATATTGTAATTTTTTCAATTCAAAATACAAAAATAAAAATATTTCTTGAACAATACTATGATACCATATATTTCTACTCAAATATATAGGTAAAAATGAGCAACCCAAAAAAAAAATTTCAAATTTTTGTAATTAAACTTTCCCCCTGGACCTGTGAAATCGGCAATTTTTAAAGGTTTTTGAGAATTTTTTTCTAAAAAAGTGCTTAGGGGGTAAGGATAAAGTGGTCCTGTTGAGCTCAAATTTTTTGGGAGTTGTTTTTTTAATATTTGCCCCAAATCTAGAGTGTATGGTATTTTAGATTTGAAAATTTCCTCAAATTGACTACCCCTAATATACATATATATGCAATGAATATAGCAAAATATATTGTCTATCTGTTGAAAAATACTAACCTCTTCTTTTACAACAACAAGCCATGCTACTTGAACACCTTCCATACCTTTAAATGGCACTTCCCTAGTTAACATTTCCCATAATAGCTAAAATGATAAATACCATGCATCAGAAATAGTCTACTTATTTTTTCAGCATTAAAAAAAACCTTAACTTTATAACTTATAAGTAAAATACTTTAAAAAATAGTGTTGCAGAAACAGATAATTGTATCAGTAAAACTACTAGATATTAGTATCAACTAACTAACCATGCTAGTATATACCAGTAATGACTAACCCTGCCGGTGGATACCATTGTATCAACTGGCACGATTATACATATATTATTATACTTATTATTATATTATTATTATTAATATACATATATTATTATACTTATTATTATATTATTATTATTATACATATATTATTATATTAATATTATACACGATTATACATAGATTATACATACTTAAATTTGCTTAGTAGCAACTGAATGTTTATAATTTTAGTGAAATATTAAAATCAAGCAACAACTGAATCAAAGTCGAAATGTCAAAAAAGAAAGTTATTAAAACAAGATGGTTTAATTGGTCACAGTTCTAACCAGTTCTAGATAAACTAAGTTGTTTATAATGTTTGACCACTTAAGGACAAACAAAATTAAACAAAATGAAGCACCAAAGTCACATAGTGATAGTTTTGATTACACAAACTATCACTATGTGACTATGTGATTAAACTACATAAAAACATTAACCTTCGACCATATAAACTAATAGACACGCCTTACCATAAGTTAATTTCAAAAAATTTTGAAGCCAACATCTTTTAGCACGTGACGTCACGTTTCGGCATTCAACAATTTATAATAACGGTTTAGAGTGAAAATAGCTTATACATATATATATATAGAATATGTATTTAACACTTTTAATATATAAGTTTTAATATTTGTTATGTATATTATTTTGTTTAAATTTTGATTTTCAAATAGAATGGTATATAAAGATCATGATTTTTTTACTTATTCTGCATATAATTGTACTAAAGGAGTTTCTTTTTATGTGTAAGTAGCTACAAATCATTCTTTGTTAAAATCCTACATTATATTTCGAATATAAATAGTATATTATTTTAATGTCTATTTTTGTTGGTAATTTTCCCAAAAATCTAGAATTGAGGAGAAAATGGATACAAGTTATGCGAAGGGATGGTTTTATTCCAAGTAAGCTGTCTAAACTTTGTGGTAAACATTTCACTAGTATGAAGGAAGTCTTTGGAGTTCACAAATAAAACTAAAAAAAGATGCAATTTCTTCTATATTTAATTTACCAACACTTTTAAGAAAAAAAAAATAATAATGTTCATAGTTATATCATTAATGTTTACAATAATATCACCAATAATTCAATACAGTAAGTCTAATGTAAATACTTTACAATGGCATACTTTACAATTACTTTTACAATGGCATACATTGATGTAAATGTTTGAGTTTACTTTTTGTGACATAAAACATCTTTATATTTTTTAAATCATTGTTGAAAAGTATTAAACCAATCCTAACACCAATGATAAACTATATATTGGTGTAATTGATGAAAATGACATGGTAACACCAGAATTAAAATTAACTATAAGTAATATTGCTGCTAAACAAAAGACAATTAAAATGCTTCAGCAATCTAACTGGTGTTTAATAAAAAGGATTAAAGACTTACATTTATTCCTTCATCATTTCAAATCAAAAAGTATGAATCATATGATGGATCAAAATCATGAATCATACTATGATTTCTGAAAAAGTATTAACTAAACTAATAGTATGATATATATTTTTATTAAGAGTAGTTGTTAAACATATTTATATTTGTGACTTTTTTTTTTTTTTTTCCTATTTAAATATTTTAAATTTTTATTACTTTTTTAAGTTATACTTTAGGATTATTTTTTTTTTAGTCAACCTACTGTTGAAATATGATTTTAATTTAGTATGTTTTTATGATTAAAAATTTGCTACATTAATCATCAGATAACAGTTAGGGAAAAATTTGGTTCGTCACAATTACAGTAGAAATAGCGATGAGTTAATTATTGTAACTGTCGTAACAGTAATAATTGTTGTTATGATTGTAATGCTATTGTGATAATTTGTTGTATGACTCTTCTTTTAATTTTAACTATTTTTACAAGTGTGTGTGTTTAGGTTGTATATCAATTACATAATATCTGTTTGGATTTTTACTATGCTATCATCTATTTCTTGATACCCCAACCAATATATGATAATTATGCCCCATTTTACTTGATTGGGTTTTCAAATATAAATATGATGTTGTAGCTAAATATATATTTATTTAATTTTATATATATATAATTTTAGGGAGTTGTCTGAGTCTAAAAAACAGTTATTTTGTCGGGTTTTACAAGAAAAGTTAAAAAGCATTACCCACAAAGAATTAGGAAGCTTTGCTTTAACATTAAATTTTTTTTCTGCTAAAGCATATAGTTATGTTAGAAAAACATTCAATAATGCACTTCCTCTGAAAAAGCTAATATTGTTAAGCATTGTCTACAATTTATTTATAAAAGTGGTGCAGAAATTATAAAATTATTGCTAAATATTTAAAGATAAGATTGACAGAGCTGACTCGTTTGGGCAAAATAAAATGCGATTCCAATGAAATAAAGCTTTAAGAATAGAAAACATTTTGTTAAATGTAAAATTTTGTAGTAAACCTTATTATTATTTTTTAAAATATTATTAAATTTATTATATGTATCAATACAATTTTATGTGTTTTATTATGCATTACATTAACATACAAAATAACTTTTTGATTCAAAAATAAAATTTGCTTTGTTTTAACTACATAAATTTACTACATAATAAATGTATACAATGTGTATTAACAAAGCAAACTTTATTTTTGAATCAAAAAGTTATTTTGTATGTTAATGTAATGCATAATAAAACACATAAAATTGTATTGATACATATAATAAATTTAATAATATTTTAAAAAATAATAATAAGGTTTACTACAAAATTTTACATTTAACAAAATGTTTTCTATTCTTAAAGCTTTATTTCATTGGAATCGCATTTTATTTTGCCCAAACGTGATGTCTCCCGCTAAAAGATGTTGGTTTCAAAATATTTAACTTTCGGCGAGTCTATCAGTTTATATGGTCAAAGGCATTTACACTGCAATATATCTGTAAGATATGGCACTATCTACAATATATCTGCAAGATATGACACTATCTGCAAACTCAATATACAGAACTTGTAAAAAAATAAGAAAATATATAGCCCAAAACATTCAAGAAACTTTTGTATCAAATACACTAATCAGGGTAGGGGTTAAACACATTTTTGTTTTGGGTATTTGGTAGTTATGGGCTAAATTTGGTAGTTATGGGCTAAATTGCTGTATTTGTATTCATATTGTATTTGATTAAAAAATATTTGTAAAATTTGTATTTCTTATTGATTGAAATGTATTTGTAATTCCGACCAGTGTATTTTTGGGAAAAACCAAGGGATTTTTTTTTTAATTTTAAACACTAAAATAAGTTAACAATTTGTTTTTAAGTAATATTTATTAAAATACTTGCTTTTGTTCTTCTATTTAGTTATTATTCTATTTTTTTTTATTTTATCAATAATTTATTTTATTATACTATTTATATTTAGTATACCATTTTATCAATATTGTATTAAAAAAAATCGTTTTTTTTACAGTGACGTGAGAAGGCATCAAATTTATTTTAAAAATTTATAAAACTAATCTGTTTCACATTCCTACCAAAATACCACAACACAGTACATCCCATTTGTTTTAAAATGCATCAAACTAGTTATTATAAAGCCAAATAATATCTTCAACTTATATTTTCAACTACAGTGACTTTGTAAATTACGCATGTCTCTAAGATTTTGTGTCTAAGTAAATTTGTCTCTTAGAAGTTGCCAAAAAGATTTAATAAAAATAAAATTTTCTTTGTTTTTTCTCAAGTTATTACATTTGTAAATATTGTGAATATCAAATATAATTGTCATGCAAACTTTTTTATGTAATCCTCATTCAAACTTCATAATTGGTTTTTATAACATTAATTACTTCTTTTACCTTACAGCTTGTTTAAATATTAAAAAATTATAAAAACCGCATTATGTAAAATGGCTTAAAGCATATGAAAATGATGCACCAGTTTATGCTTTAAAACAAGGCCTGCTATGAAACACTAGTTAAAGCTGTATGACAGTTAATATTTCATATTGTCAAATGCCATGTTTATGTTAGCTGCTTTTTTAAAATCATCATTGTGCAATTTGATAGACTTTTGATTTGTAAATAATGATTTAATTTTTGTAAAATTTTATTAGACTTTACAGCATTGACTTCTTAATTATCAAATAACTTGAACTAAATGATGCTGTTAAATGCTTTATCCAGATATGAATACCTTGAATTACCTTTATATATTTTAACTATTTTAGTATGTGAGTCGTCATGATGTGAGTCATTATTTTAGTATTTGAGTCATTTTGGTAATTTTTCTAGATGAGAGTTGAATGGTAATTTGAAGAAAAAAAAAAATTCAATCAATTATGTTTATTGTTTAGATTTTGTTTGGATCAACAAGACCAATTATGCTATTTAAAGTTGGTTTTAACCTGGAGTGTGCAAAAGTATTTGAATTGAGAATGCCTAAATATTTTAAACTTTATCAATATTCTTAGAAGCTTTAAATAAATTTTTAGTCATATTTTTTTCTAGAACGCCATTAAACTTGCAAAAAAAACAACACAGAAGACAATGCAAGAACAAGATGTTGTGATAATATACTATAAACAATTTTATTTTCTGATCCACATTTATTAATAAAAATTAGTAACAACTGCTTTCTTAACAATGTGCTACAGCAATCTTAGTAATAAGTTGCTTTATGTTGGTTGGAAGTGATACTGCATTATAAATAATTTCATAAAGTGACATCTAATAATTAGTAGTTATTAAAAAGTCATTATTAACAGATCATTTTAAAACTTCAAAGTAAAAAAAGTTAAATAAAAGAATGGTTGAATATATGTA